CAGCTCAGAGGCAGATTCTCTGAACTGCAGGTGGTGGGCTGAGGAACCCCAGAGTGCGCCAGTCGAGGGGCCAGCAGGCTGTGGCTGCCAACAGACACCATCAGCCCCCATGCGGTCACTGGCCTGTGTGCGGGGGCTGATGGTGTCAGGCAGCAGCCTCCCCGGCCCCTACCTCACCTTGCCCTGTGACAATGGCACCCTCGCCCCACCCTGCCTCGCCTTGCCTTGCCTCACCCCGTAGGACGAGCCTCCTGCCCATGCCCCACCTGCCAGAGACCCCCTGGATCTCCCCCAATCCTGCCCGGCCCCCACAGGTGTCCCTCCCCACGAGCAACATTCGAGGTGACCATGCCTACCTTGGCCACACGCACCCAGTCTGCCATGACCACCACAGCCACACCCACCCAGTGGGCCATGCCCACCTGGCACCCGGCGATAAATAAGTGGGTTTTGGGTTGCAGTTTGGGCACTTGGTCTCTAAAAGGTTCGCCATCACTGATCTATACCATTTTCATTAATACTTGTGGAGCTGACACATGTGAAATTCATGGCATTTGCAAGCAAGTAAATGGCTTGCCACACAGAACAAGGCCCTTTTATGAACAGAGCTACATATTTTATACAACAGCTAGCATTATTTTTACAAATAGTTGGTTGAGTGAAACAATATGATTAATAGGACCCAGTACTGTAAAGAATTCATGGCTGAAGTTCTGCTTTCACTGGGGAATTCCCCTTGCATAGTTCAGGGTATCAACAGTTGCATCACATCAATTGTTGAACAATACTATGATCTGTTCCACTGAACTGACTTACTTATGACATGTCCTAATTTCTTGGGGTTTTGTTGCAAATATGTTGGCAAACTGGATAATTAAAGAGATCCATTTTTTTCTGTTCCCCTACTTAGACTCCCATACATACATTCTCCTAAGGCAGTTTAATGCCGCGACCCCCAACCGGACGTAAGTCGAGGACTACTCAACCAGTTGTAAGTTGAGGACTACTCAACTGGTGCAGCACCGTTTGCAGAATGGGATTTTTGGCGGGCTCAGCAAGGCAGAGACAGTCTGGACAATTCCTATTGGCTTTTGAAAGCCAATAGAATTAGACTCTATTCAAGAGAGTCTATTCTATTGGCTTTCAAAAGCCAATAGAATAAAAGGGAGTAGCACAGCTAAGGAAAAGGGGGGAAAAATGGCGGGCTGCATTGTTTGGCGAACTCCGTGAAATGGTCGTTCGACCCCAAATGGGGTCCCTACCCACAGGTTGAGAACCACTGTCCTAAGGTAATTGTTTCTTCCTTATAAGTTATTTTTGGGTTTTAGTAAATGACAACATTCATTTCAACATGTTGAACAATTCAGCGTGTTCTTTCTTCACAATAGTCAAAAAACTTATTATCCGCTGCCAGATTATACTGCTTGAAATACTAATATTAATAGTCCATCTATATTGTCTACATTATTCACTGATTAGGAGGGATATTCTGGATTTTGAAAGATGAATCTTTCCTGTCTCTATTATGAGACACATAGCCAGGGTAGGTCTGTACACAAAATGTCTGTTGTTTGCTCCTTATCTATCCTTTGCATTGACCTGATCTTTGAATGGCCTATAAAAATTTTGGACAAAGGATTCTCAGATCATATAAATGCTACTTTAAATTTATAGATTAGGCAGTAGACACAGGAGCACCCCCAATCTTGACTCATAGCAGTGATAGCAAAGATGACACCATATTCCTGCAGATAGCCAGGTAATCGAAGTTATCTGTGGGAAAAGATAAGCTTAGTTAATTGAACCCAGGTTGGCATCCCATGACAGCAGCTCTTAATAAAGTAGGAGAAGGTGAACACATGGAGTTCTGTAAGGGAGTGATATAATTTGAGCAATTCAGTGAGAGGTACTTAACAAGAATACTTCCACTTAATATAATCAGAGTCAGTACTTCCAACTTTCCAAGTATAACTTCTGTTAAATTCTCCACTTATTATGTAATAAACATTTGGAATTCTTTGTAAACAAAAGTCCAATTGTTCCTCTTGATTTTTTATATTAAACTGAAATTTTGATAGCAGTATCAACAATTGTGCATTCTGTATTTATGGAGATGTGCGGTGCTATTAGCTCTCCTTTGCTCTGAATTCCCTTCTTCCAAAATTATGTTTGTAAATTTAATTTAAACTTCAGCAGCTGTGTATGTTGCTTGGCTTCTGTATATTTTAACATACAGCTGGAATACATATGAAATTGTTGACTTCACCTGAAAAATGACTTGGGGTAAAATGAGAAAACTTCCTGAAAGAGATAAACATTAACAACGTGGTTCTCAACCTTTTTAATGCTGCGACCCCCCAACCAGTCGTAAGTCAAGGACTACTCAACTGGTCATAAGTCGAGGACTATTCAACTGGTGCAGCACCGTTTGCAGAATGGGACTTTTGGCAGGCTCAGCAGGGCAGAGACAGCCTGGACAATTCCTATTGGCTTTTGAAAGCCAATAGAATTAGACTCTATTCAAGAGAGTCTATTCTATTGGCTTTCAAAAGCCAATAGAATAAAAGGGAGTAGCACAGCTAAGGAAAAGGGCAAAAAAATGGCAGACTGCGTTGTTTGGCGACCCCTGTGAAATGGTTGTTCGACCCCAGATGGGGTCCCGACCCACAGGTTGAGAACCACTGCTCTAGAACCAACTTGTTCTATCTTGCAGAGTTTGTGAGTGACATGTGAAAGCGTAAAAGCACTCATCTTATGCTTCCTGCCAAATCATACTGGAATTTATATCCAGTTGTCCCTGGATGTGTGCTGCAAGGGATAATCTCATACAGTTAAAAATGGATCAGTACGGATTTTTCACTAGCTGTTTGTCACCCCTTTCTCCCCAGAAAGTTGATATGGGTATTCAGGAAGAATTTAATGATCAACATTGCTCTGAGCCAGACCTCTCTGTCTAGATGTGGGCTGTGGTGCCAACTGAGTCATCAACATTTTCCAAAGCTGACCTAATGATTTTTTCTGTTTGAAAAACTAACCTACTTTATGTTCTTTTTTTAAAAATTCAAACTCTGCTTATCTAATTATCCATATAAAATAATGCAAAATGAGAATTTTGCCTTGTTGGTATAAAGAAAATATATAGGCAGGTGACTAGTAATACATTAATTGAAGAATGAAACTCCCTATCTTTAAAAAAAAAAACTGAAAGTCAGAGTGTTTTTCTTTTCTTAAATATTTTCAGAACTTTAGGATGTTTTTGCTGATTGTGAAGACTACCATAAAGCTCCCAGATCAGTATGACACCTACATGATTATGACCCATTTGACCTTCAGAAGGCATTCATGGCATCTCAGAATTTCAGTTATATATATTTTTAATGCAAATGTCAAAAACAATCATTTGAAATTGACATAAGACTTGTATGGAAGCAAAGCATCTATTGTGATTTGATGATCTCCCAAAATCATCAAACCATAGAGAAGTACACTGGAGACTATAGGCCATGACTTACTCAGCCACATCATTGATCTCCAGGTCATTGATAGGGAACCTGGCATTGAACCAGAAATCATGGTTTACAAACCAGAACCAAATAAATCACATTATCCATTATTCGTACATGAACACATCCATGTAGGGTGGCTAGGTTCGTACTAATGCTCATTTGTATAGTTGCTTCAGCTAGATGAGGAAAATCAGTTTATTTAGAACTCATAGTTATCATGTTAGATGTTGTCTTTATAAGGCACATTATTTTCTGTGGGCCTAATATACCCAAATATTAGTATAAATCATCCAGTATTACTTGGACATGGAAAGAGGTGCTTTATCATTATGCATTCTCACATACCTAGTATGCTATATTGAATAATTTCAGACTAAGAGAGGTATTTAGAATAATCTTGCCCTTTTTGCCATTGATAATTACAGACAGCATGGTAGATTGGCTTAGCATTCATTGCCATCATTCTACACAGTTTTAATTTACCCAGCATACATATAAGTATGCTCATAATTTGGGTCCACCAGATCCAAAGTGGGATGCCATTCTTTGCTGCCATATAATGGGAACCAATTATGAAAGTACAATACCATACCATACCATACCATAACATAACATAACATAACATAACATACCAGATTTGAAAGGGACCTTGGAGGTCTTTTAGTCCAACCCCATTGCTCAGGCCGGAAACTCTATACCAGGGGTGTCAAACTGCTGGCCCGCGGGCCAGATGTGTCATGTCAAAACTGCTTCCACCACATTGCCAGCAATGGAAAAAAAGTTGTGATACGTCACGACACATGACGTTGCGAGTTTGACACCCCTGCTCTATACCATTTCAGAAAAAATGATTGTCCAATCTCTTTTTAAAAACTTCCAGTGTTGGAGCATCCACAATTTCTGGAGACAAGCTATTCCATTGATTAATTGTTCTCACTGTCAGGAAATTTCTCCTTAGTTCTAGTTGCTTCTCTCCTTGATTAGCTTCCATCCATTGCTTCTTGTCCTGCCCTCAGATGCTGTCCTGTAACAACTCATCATATGATTGGCTGTTGAGGACTCCAGCTCTGAAGGAGAAGACATTTCAGAGCATGCCAAGGTCCACAAGTGGCACCTTTTGGCAACTTTTTAAAGCAGCTGCATCCTTTCTTAATATCATACAACTGTCATGCCCAACTAAACTGCAGTCCTGGGGGGGGGTGCAAAACACATTTGGTTTAAGGAGTTACTAATTTATCAGCAATTATAGGTTCTGATATAACCTTTTCTCTTTGAATCTAAAGTCTGTTCATTATAGAAACAATGATTGAAGTGGTGTGAATGACACATTCTGCATTTAAACTATGCATCTTCACAGCAATTGTTCAGTTTTGATCTCTCATATTTAAGCCACCATTTCTAAGTTCTGGGTGGAGAAAGGAACTTTTTTTTTTTACTTTATATCATAAGCATTTGGTTTTCCAATTCTTTATTTTATGTGTCTTTATTTTCCAGGAAGGAAAGAAGAAGTTTGACAAAGAAAGTGAAAAGTATTATTCCACCCTGGAGAAGCACTTAAATTTATCAGCTAAGAAAAAGGAATCACACCTGCAAGATGTAAGTTTTTGCAACTGGGATTTTGTATTTTCGAGGTCAAATTGATGTTGTTTTAAAGGAGTGTTTGTCTGTTTTAATAATTTAAATATAAGTCTGACTGTGTTTCTTTTATGACCAAGATATATAAGTTCTGGATTTAATATTTTTTTTCCTTTATGTTGTCTTTGACAAAAGGTTACTGAAGAAGGATCGATGAATTTAAAAGAATTAATATACAATGATTACTTGTCAGATGAAAGTTCGGCTACTCATGCCATTTAATTTAGGGTTGAAAGACTGGGATGCACTATTTGCATGTTTAGATTTGTCATTACTTTGAAACATAACATAATAACAGAGTTGGAAGGTACCTTGGAGGTCTTCTAGTCCAACACCCTTGTCAAACAATTTTATTTCAATTAAAACATCAGTTTTAATTATTTGAAACTAATGGTACATTGCAGAACATAGATGTAATTTTTAGTAATTATTTCTTCAGATTGGTAGTAGTGCTTGGTCTAGTATCTGTCTCATTTTTTTCCAGCTGTTACAACAGAAGAGTAGAACAGCAAGTAGAAAAATCACCAGATTACTGCTATTTCCTGTTATTCACTATTAGACTGTCAAGCTAAACATTTCATAGCCCACTGAGAATTCTAGAATGTTGCCCACAGACACACCCACTCATTCCAAAAATGGGGAAAAAGGTTGGGTAGGGTATGACTGTCAGAAGTCTAACTTTTTTATTATTTTTGTTGGGCTTTGCAATTTTTAATGATTTATTCCTTAACAACATTATCATCCTCCACTCCCTATAAACACCCTTCAGTCTGGTTCATGGGGAATACATTTCCATCATCCATAGGGTGAAACCCAACATTTATACTATATAATAATAGTAGTAGTAGTAGTAGTAAAGTTGGAAGGGACCTTGGAGGTCATCTAGTCCAACCCCCTGCTCCGGCAGGAAATCCTACACCATTTCAGACAAGTGGCTGTCCAGTCTCTTCTTAAAAACTTCCAGTGTTGGAGCATTTACTGCTTCTGGAGGCAGGCTGTTCCACTGATTAATTGTTCTCCCTGTCAGGAAGTTTCTCCTTAGTTCTAGGTTGCTTCTCTCCTTGATTAGTTTCCACCCGTTGCTTCTTGTCCTGCCTTCAGGTGCTTTGGGAAAATAGCTTAATTCCCTCTTCTTTATGGCAGCCCCTGAGATATTGGAATACTGCTATCATGTCCCCCCTTGTCCTTCTCTTCGTTAAACTAGACATACCCAATTCTAGCAACCGTTATATGTTTTAGCCTCCAGTCCCCTAATCATCTGTGTTGCTCTTTTCTGTACTCTTTCTAGAGTCTCAAAATCTTTTTTACATCGTGGTGACCAAAACTGGATGCAGTATTCCAAGTGTGGCCTTACCGAGGCATTGAAGAGTGGTATTAATACTTCACGTGATCTTGATTCTATCCCTCTGTTAATGCAGCCTAGCACTGTGTTGGCCTTTTTGGCAGCTGCAGCACACTGCTGGCTCATATTTAAGTGATTGTCTACTAGGACTCCGAGGTCCCTCTCACAGTTACTGCTATTGAGCATGGTGCCACCTAGGCTGTACTTGTGCATTTGGTTTTTCTTGCCTAAATGTAGAACCTTGCTTTTGTCACCATTGAATTTCATTTTGTTAGTTAGTGCCCAGTGTTCAAGTCTGTCCAGATCCTTCTGTATCTTAAGCCTGTCTTCTGGAGTGTTGGCTATTCCTGCCAGCTTGGTGTCGTCTGCAAATTTGATGAGTTCCCCATATATCCCTTCATCCAAATCGTTGATGAAGATGTTGAAGAGTACTGGGCCCAGAACAGAGCCTTGGGGCACCCCACTACACACTTCCCTCCATACTAGCATGATCTAACATGATGTCATCCAATTGTTTTGAAAATATGCTTCACACTCCCTGATCATTGATTGGGCTGGTTGTTTTGATACTGGAAATCCAACATACAGGTAATCCTTGACTTACAACAGTTCCAAAGTTACAAAGGCACTGAAAAAAGTGATTTACGACTATTTTTCACAGTTACAACCATTGTAACATCCTCATGGCCAAGGTGATCAAAATATAGACACTTGGGAACTGACTTACATTTATGATGGTTGAAGTGTTCCAAAGTCATGTGATTACTTTTGGTGACTTTCTGACTAGCAAAGGCAATGAGGAAGTCAGATTCACTTAACAATTTACTAAACAACTATGGTGATTCACATAACAAATGCAGCAAGAAAGGTCATAAAATGGGGAAAACTCATTTAACAACTATCTTGCTTAGCAACAGAAATTTGGGCTCAATTGTCTTCATAGGTCAAGGACTACCACTACCTAGTAAATACCATAATAGAAAAGACTGGATTATACCATACTTTTTGGTGCATCGAACCCCAAAATTGTCTTCCGTATTTTCCAGAAATTCTCTAAGGTTGCTAAAGGTTTTTTGGTGATTAAATTTATCTCAATAGACAGTTATCCAAAGTCATAGACATTAATTGCTTATACGTCCCCTGGACATCTACTGAATGATCTTACTAAAGTACTATTTTGAAAGATAAAAAGGACAAGTATAGAAAGTGGAAAGAGTGACACATAACTAAGTCAGAATATCAGCAAATAGCCCGAGACTGCAAAGACGAAGTGAGGAAAGCTAAGTCTCAAAATGAACTAAGGCTTGCAACAAAAGTCAGAAATAACAAAAAAAGCTTCTTTCAACATGTAAAAAACAAGAAAAAAGTAAAGGAAACGATTGGTCCATTAGTGGGTGAAAGTGGCAAGAAGGTGACAAGCAACAGAGAGAAAGCAGAACTATTTAACTCATTTTTTGCATCTGTCTTTACACAAAGGGAAAAAACAGACCAACCTATCAAAAATAGTGCCATAAAAAACAAAACAGAAATACAAGTTAAGATAGACAAGAAAATGGTAAGTGAGCACCTGTCCAGCCTAGATGAGTTCAAATCACCAGGACCAGATGGATTACACCTCAAGGTTTTCAAGAAACTGGCAGATGTGGTCTCAGAACCATTGAACTATATTTTTCAAAGATCCTGGAGCACTGGGGAACTACCAGAGGACTGGAAAAGAGCTGATGTAGTTCCCATCTTCAAAAAAGGGGAAAAAATGGATACAGGAAATTACAGACCTATCAGCCTGACCTCAATACCTGGGAAGATTCTGGGAAAGATAATCAAACAACGAATCAGCGAACACCTACAGGCAAACAAAGTCATTACTAAAGCCAACACGGGTTTGTCAAAAACAGATCATGCCAGACAAATCTTATTGCATTCTTTGATGAAGTGACAAAATTAGTGGACCAGAGGAATGCTGTGGATATAATTTACTTGGACTTCAGTAAGGCATTTGACAAAGTAGATCACAACCTACTACTTGATAAGATAGAAAAACGCGGGTTAGACAGCATCACCACCAGAGGGATCCGTAGCTGGCTGACCGGCCGTACTCATTGTGTGGTGCTCAATGGAACTGCATCTACATGGAGAGAAGTGTGTAGTGGGGTGCCCCAGGGCTCTGTTCTGGGCCCAGTGCTCTTCAACATCTTCATCAACGATCTGGACGAGGGGATAGATGGGGAACTCATCAAATTTGCAGATGACACCAAGCTGGCAGGAATAGCCAACACTCCAGAAGACAGGCTTAGGATACAGGAGGATCTGGACAGACTTGAACACTGGGCGCTATCTAACAAAATGAAATTCAATGGTGAAAAAAGTAAGGTTCTACATTTAGGCAAGAAAAACCAAATGTACAGGTATAGTATAGGGCAGTGGTTCTGAACCTGTGGGTCGGGACCCATTTGGGGTCGAACGACCATTTCACGGGGGTCGCCAAACAACGCAGTCCTCCATTTTTCCCCCTTTTCCTTAGCTGTGCTACTCCCTTTTATTCTATTGGCTTTTGAAAGCCAATAGAATAGACTCTCTTGAATAGAGTCTAATTCTATTGGCTTTCAAAAGCCAATAGGAATTGTCCAGGCTGTCTCTGCCCTGCTGAGCCCGCCAAAAGTCCCATTCTGCAAACGGTGCTGCACCAGTTGAGTAGTCCTCGACTTACGACCGGTTGAGTAGTCCTCGACTTACGACCGGTCGGGGGTTGCGGCATTAAAAAGGTTGAGAACCACTGGTATAGGGGGTACCTTGCTCAATAGTAGTAACTGTGAGAGGGATCTCGGAGTCCTAGTGGACAATCATTTAAATATGAGCCAGCAGTATGCTGCAGCTGCCAAAAAAGCCAACACAGTGCTAGGCTGCGTTAACAGAGCGATAGAATCAAGATCACGTGAAGTATTAATACCACTTTACAATGCCTTGGTAAGGCCACACTTGGAATACTGCATTCAGTTTTTGTCACCACGATGTAAAAAAGATGTTGAGACTCTAGAAAGAGTACAGAGAAGAGCAACAAAGATGATTAGGGGACTGGAGGCTAAAACATATAAGGAACAGTTGCTGGAATTGGGTATGTCTAGTTTAATGAAGGGAAGGACGAGGGGGGACATGATAGCAATGTTCCAATATCTCAGGGGCTGCCACAAAGAAGAGGGAGTCAAGCAATTTTCCAAAGCGCCTGAAGGTAGGACAAGAAGCAACAGGTGGAAACTAACCAAAGAGAGAAGCAACCTAGAACTAAGGAGAAACTTCCTGACAGTTAGAACAATTAACCAGTGGAACAACCTGCCTCCAGAAGCGGTGAATGCTCCAACATTGGAGGTTTTTAAGAAGAGACTGGGCAGCCATTTGTCCGAAATGGTATAGGGTTTCCTGCCTGAGCAGGGGGTTGGACTAGATGACCTCCAAGGTCCCTTCCAACTTTATCATCATTATTATTATTATTACTATTGATTCAATGGGATTTGTAGAAGTATCTGTCTTTGGCTTGGGACCAGTAGATAGATAGTACATGAACCTCTGCTCACTTTTAACTCATGGAGATTTCTATAGTACTTTTTCCTTTTCTTTTCCATAAGAGGAATATATTTTGTCTAACAATTAATTTGAGTTTGATCTAACTGACTCCACTCTTTAACATAATCATTTATGTTCTTGATCACAAAAAATTCTAAATAAAACTAAGTTACATCAGAAACAACTCCCTCCCTCCCAAAAAAAACCCTAAGAACTATTTCTTGCTCTGATTTTTTTTAAGAATAGTTCTCAGACCAAATAATTCATCATGTCTGAAAATAAGAGTTGATTAGGTCATTGAATTTCCTTTCATGGAAATATGAATCTCAGATGATTGTATACTTTGCAATACTTAGATTTTCATGCTGATCTATCTATTCCTGTAGATTTTTATTTATTTATTTGCTTCTCCTAATCCAGTAGAATGCCTAACCATGAGAATTTATCTTGTGTTTCCTTTTTATAGGATATATTAAGTTGATATGGCGCTTCTGTTTCAGAAGACTTTCCTGATGCAATTATAACAACACTAATAATAAACTGTATATTTTACAATCATTTTATGTTTCAATTTTAGGCAGATACTCAGATTGACAGAGAACATCAAAATTTTTATGAAGCATCATTAGAATACGTCTTCAAAATCCAAGAAGTACAAGAGAGAAAGAAGTTTGAATTTGTTGAGCCTGTAAGTTTTAATAATCCTATTTGCTATAACCAACATGCTTCTACATACAGATCAAAATACAAATAATTCATAGGATTGATTGACTAGGCTACTTTTCCATAATATTCAACTTCCAACTCTGTTATTCTATATTCCTAAATGTAGATTGTAACATCTCAACTGACCTAAAGCTGACTAGTGGTCAAGCTACCTAAATATTGGTTATTTTAATAAGGATCTCCTAGTGAAATTCTAAAGAGTCTTATGATTCCTAATGGATGCAGTTCTTAACAACCAGAATTGTACTCTCCCAAGGAATGCAAATCAGGTAAAATATATTAGTCAATTAAGGAAGCGAATTTCTCACATAAACAACTGAAAGTCTAAACTAAATCAATTTTTTTTTAAAAAAATGTTCACAGAAAGGTTTTATCATCCACTGTGGAATAAAATTGCAGATGGCTTGCCATCTATCTATGTGACATTTTAATGGCAGTGCTTTTTGTGCAACTAGAATTTCATAATGTAAAAATTGGCTAAAATGCTTGCCAGAGACACTGTTCTTCAGGTTTTAATAAATTTATTTGGCCTTTTATTTAAGAATAATAAAAATAATATGGAAAATATTTATAAAAGTGGAACTATTATGCTCCAACCCTGTTCTTTTAGCAAATAATTTCAGCCAAATAATTTCTAAGTATATTTGACCAAAATCAGGTTGTAGGGTGCATAATATAGATAAAAATTGAACTCTAAAAAAAGGAGAATATATGTATCTCAGGGATGAACTGTGGAGTCTTGGTGGTTTCTGAGCTTGGTTGTTTGCTTGTTGATGTTTCATTACCCAACTAGGTAACATCATCAGTGCTTATGAGTACAGATACTTCTTAACTTACAATAGTTTGTTTAGTGACTGTCCAAAGTTATAACAGCACTGAAAAAAATGACTTAACGATTGTTTTTCACACATTGCAGCATCCCCACAGTTTTATTGTCAAACGCTTGGCAACTGACTCATATTTATGACAGTTGCAGTGGCCTGTGGTCATGTGATTGCCTTTTGCGACCTCCTGACAAGCAAAGTCAATGGAGAAGCGAGATTCCCTTAACTACCATGTTAACAACTTAACAACTGTGGCAAGAAAGGTCGTAAAATGGGGCAAAATTCACTTAATAAATGTCTCACTTAGCAATGGAAGTTTGGGGCTTATCTGTGGTCGTAAATCGAGGACAAATAAGCAAACCCCACATGAAACATCTGAGAGCAAACAACCAAGCTTAGAGAACATCAGGAGTTCACCAATTGAATTCTGATCTTCCTCCTGTTGACTCTTCAGAGCAGTCAGGATGTAGCAAAACACAGACTGAAAGCATAAAATTTATGTCTTCAGTGGCTGCATTGATGGCCCAGCTTCAGAGGATTTGGGTTTGATGAGCACAGTAATGGCAGCAATTATCAGTCTTCCTTACAAGAAACAAACAAAAGAAAATTTCTGCAAACATTAATTGCCCAACTGCTAGTGACACAATTTCACCCTATAACCATTTTCAAGAGATCTCTAACTGTAGATGAGGATGTATGCATAAACCACTTTAGCTGATGTCTCATGAAAAGTGTATTTATAAACAGTTCTGTTTTATTAAGTAGAGCCACAAAAGATTATGAGCCGTCTTGCATATAACTATGCATCCCCCGATTGTTCCAATCGTATAAAATTACACTTTTAAAAAATCTTGGATTTGAATTAATAAGTAATTAATGTAGTAATTAATCTATAGTGGCTCGTTTGGAACTTGGTACTGGAACTGTGCAGTGATGAACATGCTTAATGTTTTGTTGGAGATTATATGTAGATCCACAAATATTAACCTTTCTCTGAATCCCTAAATTAGCCAGTTCAATAAATCAAAGTTTAACACAGCTCAAACCATTTGTGTGCTAGCAGCTGTAAGGCTCCAGCCAACAAAACACAGTATCTGAAACCTCAAATAGTCTTGTATTTATTTTTATGTAGTGTTGTTGACCCTGAGATTGTTTGGTCATCTCATTCTCACAGGAAGACGATTTTGGTAGGAATTTGACCTCTATCCTTCAGTTCATCAGCCAAGCAGTTATTATCTTCCTAGTTCCTCTTTTAAAAAACTAGGGAAGAGAGAGAAAGAGAAAAAGTAACAGCTACCGCAAAATATATTTGAATAATCAGTTTTAAACAAAGTTGCTGGTAATCTGGCAAGAGAGGAGAGGCAAGTGACTTTTGATAACCATCACTCTGTCAATAAAAAGTGGAATAGTTATCAAGAGTTCCTTGATAACTTTGCATATATTTTTAGAAGGGATAGTCTTAACAATTCAGTTTGTCTGCCAAGAAGAAATTTATTTAGGATGGTTTTGCTGAAGCTGGGGGGCTCTTAAAGTGGTGGCTGTTTCTCCAGCAGCTTTTTCCAGTATGGACATTCTCCTGATGTTTGGACTTTAACTCTCAGTTCCTTAACCAGCATGGCTATTACTATGGAATTGAAGCATTTGAGGAGTTGAAGGTCCATAAATTTGAAGAATAAAAGGGGAACACAACTATGTAATATGTCAGGGACAAGCAACTATGGTTCCTTTACTACCTGTGGACTTCAACTCCCAGAATTACACGGCTGGCTCAGGAATTCTGAGACTTGAAGTCCATAGGCCGTAAAGGAACCATAGTTGCCCACCCTTGTAATAGGTTTTCTGGTATGGGAAGCTCATATCTTTTTTTTCTCCTGAAATCTGCCCTGCTCAGTAAATAATTCCAACTATTCCTAGGACCTAAACTTCTTTCAAATGTGAAGTTGGTAGAAAACATTGTTTAAATTGTTTAAACATTAAATTGTTTAAACATTGTTTAAATCTATAAAGTTGTTTATAGATGGAGAGCCATCCTGGCCTATATAGCAACTTGGATTGCGAATCTAAGAATGCTACTAGATCCACCAAGAAGACTTCAAACAATGTAAGGAACAGGATGCTGGCCTGCAACTGTGGTGTTGCTGTAAAAAATTATTCAGACATTTTTCCACTGAACATAGGCATTTTCTCCACAGTTTCTTGAACTAATACAGCTAGAAATAAAACAGATTACAAAATGCCAAGTTTTGATTCCCTGCATTGGAATAGAAAGTAGGGTGTAGCATAATGACTCTTTGAAGAAGCATTATTACAGGTAGATAGTATGTTCCTTTTCATTTCTGATCTCTGTGCATCTTATAAGTGGGTGAATTATTTACAAATGCAAGGGCAGGTAGTATCAGAATACTTGAAGAATGAACTGGCCTGTGGAAACCAGTTTATACTCCAATCTAAATACCAACTTACAGTGCTTTGTGGAGGCTGAAGGTTAAAGGCTGGGATCATGGAGCAGTAGCAGTAGCATCTCTGAAGTAAATGGCAGATGGTCCAACAATGCATGTGAAGTGTTAAGTTATGGAAGCCTTAAAATGTCATAAGCCAAACCTATGGTGAAATTAAACTAACTAGCAGTATGTTGATCTAATACAGAGATGTTCTACTTTGATGGAGAATGACAGATTGTCACTGGAGGTTTTCAAGAAAAGATTGGACAGCCATTTGTCTGGAATAGTATAAGGTCTCCTGCTTGAACAGGGAGTTGACTGGAATACCTCCAAGGTCCCTTCCAACTGTGTTATTCTATGTTCTATATCAGGGGTAGTCAACCTTGGCTCTTTTATGACTCATGGACTTCAACTCCCAGAATTCCTGAGCCAGCTAAGCTGGCTCAGGAATTCTGGGAGTTGAAGTCCACGTGTCATAAAAGAGCCAAGGTTGACTACCCCTGTTCTATATTCTAATGAAGTATGCCTGAAATTTAAAGCAGTCAACAGGTATAAGGAAAAAAAAGAGGTAGAATTAGTTCCTGGCCACAGTAGTATATAATCACAACCTCTGTCAAAAATAATCTAAAAGGCAGTTTTATCCTTGTGAAAAATAAGATCTAGCTGGTTCACCTTGAGGGCAGCCAGCTTGCTGATTCTACAAGCAGACATGACTATCAGCCTTGTAGGAAAAAAAATAATCTGAAATCACAATAGACAAAAGGCCTTGAAGGTTTCCAGTTCAGAGACATTAGAATAACAAATCCACCTGTTCATGGAAAATGATAGCAAGAAACTTACAAATAAGATGTGGTCAATTTCTTAGACTAGAGAGACATCAGGAACCAGAAATATTTTCACTTGGCGGTACAATAGAAGATCACCATGTGGGTGGCTTCCTGGCCATCACCAGTACAATTAAACATCTGGTGTTATGCTGAAGATGAAGAGACCCTCCACACTCTGAGGCAGTCATCTTAGATACCTAAGTGGTTTAGTACAAGATTAAATCTGAAGAAGATCAGATTCTGAGGAATTTTCTAATTAACTCTGGAACAGATGAAAGAAAACTTTGTAAACGGTACTAAGAAATGATTAATGCGATCATCGTTCCCTCTCTGACACCTTTTACTACCTCCTTCTTAAGAAGCAGGAGGAATAAGAGAGAAAAAAGGACCTGTTCACTTTTAGTTCTAAGAAGCACATGTTTTATCCTGCTGTACTGCAGGAACTTCAGTCTAACATCTGGCCATGTAAATCCTTTGTACATGAATAACCCACAAGATGAGTAACAAGATAAATCTGCAAATGCTCCAGTCCTAGATATCAAGCATTAAGTACTAGAATCTGTGGATTTTTTTTTTTTAGAATTGCAAGTTCTTAAGTTATTTATGTAGAGATTGTCTCTGACCTGGTCCAAATTTGTCTAATCTGAAGACTGTTCCTGTCCTCTCCTCCATATCAAGATGTGTGATTGGATTTTAAGGGAGAAAAACTGTGTTTCTTGGTATAGGTTTCCTTGCGTTTAGCCCCAAAAGAAGCATTGAATCTAAGTGAGAAGAGATTACCAGCAGTTATGTAGAGGATATCAGTGGAGAACATTTAGAAAAATCAAAACTGGTTCACATCTGTAGCTAGGTTCATACAACCATGCACCT